ACTGCAGTTAATGCAGCTATACCTCCTGAACAGACACTCCAAGCTTCGACATACTGAAACCACAGTTTGAAACCTTCAAATGGAAACCTCATCAGCACCTGAGTAACGTCCAGTCTTTCCACTTCCAAACATATGGTCAGTTCATTGAGTGACGGGATGTAAACAGAGTTGGCGACCTCTGCGACCTCAGCACTGGGGATTTTCACCTTCTGGTTCCTCAGAGCCACAGCAACTGGAGTGGAGGGAATAAAAGAAAGCAAAGATGTTAAAAGGAGAAATAAGCCTGGAGGTTGAACACAAAGAGAAAATACACTTTAGAATTTATTCAAACTTGCATAAAAAATAGGATACAGAAGCAACACAATGTGTTTCTTCAGATTTAAGGTATCAGTTGCTTTGAAAACAATTAACATACAGAAAAAATTGGAAATTATATGCACGTTTTTGGGGAACTCTTTAACAGGCCGCAACTCACAAAAAAACAAAACAAAAAAAGGTTATAAATAGGTTATTTTCAAGACCTTAACAACTCTTTTAACATCATTTACTCCTTTTTAAAATGTTCACATCATAGCCGGAACGTACCGTGCTGGAATCTAACCATGAACCCCCTCTTCTGTATGCTGAAGTCAGAGATGAAGGAAAGCTCCATCTCGTTCCTCGTCGAGTTCAGTGTCAAACCGTTGGCCGTCAGACCACAAAACTTTGATTCTGCGTTACCCGTGTTCACCAGGACCCGGTCGTACATGCAGTTCAGCGCCTCTTCCAGTTCAAAGTCCAAAAACGAGAGCTGGATGATGAAGCCGGCCGGTGCCTGCAGGGTCCACTTACAGGTGTGGGTGTTGGGGTATTTCTCGGGGTAGCAGGGTGACTTGATCTCCCCCCGGGCTTCAGTTAGCACCACATTACAATTTATGGAGCTGCAGCCCAGAACTGGAGCTGATGGTAGAATAAAGTCAATGAGTCAAACCTTCAGTTACACGACTAAAGAAATGAGGACAAGACGAAGAAGGACGGACGGAGACAAGACGACAGAGGAGGCAAACAGTTATCAACGCTTCGTCAGCAGTAAGAGATTCACGAAGAACTTTAAAGATCTTTGCAGCAAATGAAGGACACTATAAGATAAAGGAAGAACCACCAAGAAAGAAGGTACATCTCATCTTTCTTTCGTTTTTAGGAGGACTTTGAGTTAGAGAAAAGCTCAGCAGCAAAGAGAAGTTCAATAATTAATCAAGGGAAGAATTATTGTGTACAATTTATTTTTTTGGAAGAAAATTAAGAGTTTGGCAACAAGTGAAATCCAGAGTGGATGAGAGGTCATGATCATTCCCTAACGCCATGGATCACATCTTTATAGCTGGGAAGGAAACCAGCTTGCAGGCGGAAAACATAATATTAATATATATCTTTCTATGCTGATGATGTGACACCATTTACTTTAAAGGTATACTATGCAACCGGTGTTGATTTTCCAGCGAGGCTCCCCCCAGAGGGC